TATATATATTGGTATTAGATAGAAATTAATCATGAGTTTAGATATAGAATGAAACGTGTCACAAGTCAAATTCATAACTTTATTGAGGTCTCCAGAGGAATTGGTGAGATCGATTGGAATTAGGTCGGTCATTTGGCTACTACTAGATCAAACATAATATATCGGATTCCGTTTCATGCTTTTCATATTGAATTATATACATATATATACATATATATATTAGGTATTGGTATTTTAGTATACATCATATGTTATACGTGAATGCTATGAACCACTGTTATTAGTGCTATTCATTTTGGATCATTAATGAGCCCCTTATTTTGAAAGTGGCCAAACTCCATTTATGTTCAAATCGAAATATTGAAAATAATATTAAATAATAAAATATATCTATTTGATGAACAAGGATATACAAATAAATAAAATAATTATCGCGAAATAATCTTGTGAAATTAAATTCATTCATATTTTTTAATTTAAATCAAAATATTCAAAACTAAATTTATTCCAACTTGAGAGTTCATTGAGAGTTTGTAGCTTTCTGCATAATTTAGTTCATTTACATCTCTTGATCTATCTTTCTCTCCTATCTCTCTCTCTCTCTCTCTTTCTCTCTCTCTCTCTCTCTCTCTCTCTCTCTTTCTCATCTATTCAGATATTCATGTTTCTAATTCAAAACTGAACGTAACAAGATAGTCAATAAAATCATATTATTACATATATATTAAATTTATATTATAAATATTGATATATATTATTTCAATTATTACGATTTAAAGATAAACACAAAAATCATATTTGCAAAAGAAAATAATTTCTAGAAAAAAATATAAATAATTAAATAATATAGTAAATATATATATAAAATAAAATTTATTTATTTGAATAATTAAATAATTAATTAATTAATTTATTTAAATAATATATTATTATTATATTAATAATAATATATTATATTATTATAATAATATTATATATTATAATTATATTATATTATAATATAATAATATATATATAATAATATATTATTATTATATTAATATATTATATATTAATCAAGTAATCAATATAATATATTATTATTAATATAATATATTAATCAAACATTGTACACTACTTGTGTTCATCGTTATACTTCGAAAAAAACAAAAAAATCAATGAACAAAAATACTGTGAGTGAATATATGTGTGTGTGTGTGTGAGTGAATGTGTGTGAGAGAGAGAGAGAGAGAGAAAAAGAGAGAATGAAAAGTGAGAGAAAAGCTAATTTTAATCGAGTAAGTTGTTTCCTTTAGAAAACTTCGACCTCTTAAATGTAGAGTGACAAATGCACCGCATGCAATTTTTCCCTCTTACCACCCTCTTATTCCCTTCTTTCTTCTTTCTACAACCCCTGACCCTTTCTTCCCTTTCCTTTTCACCCTTCATCTTCACCAGTGTCTCTTATTCTTCTTCTAAACCAGGCTTTTTCCTTTTTCTTTTTTTCTTTTCCACCTCTGACCTTTTATTCCTCTTACAGTTCCTCTACCAGTAGTTTCTTTCCATTTTACTTTTCTTTTCATTCTTCTTACAAGGAATCAAATTGCATCTTTTCTTCTTTTTTCTTCTTCTTTTCTATTTCTATTTCTATTTCTATTTCTATTTCTCTTTCTATTTCGTAATCATCATCCTCTTTCCAATTTTTAGTACTCATATTTCTTTTCTTTTTCTTTCTTTCTTTCTTTCTTCCTTTCTCTTATTCTCAGTCAGTCAGTTTATTCGAGAGGAAGAGGAGGAGGAAGATTTTTCTCTCTTTTCAAAGAGTGTATATCCTTCAATTTACCTTCACTTTGGCAAGAACACATAGATGATGTGGCAAGTTAAACCCCTTCACACCCTACACCACCACCACCTCCTCTTTCCATCCACCCCCACACACACACACACACACATACATCTTCGGCTTTTGTCGACCACTCAGAGATATTACGATGTACGAGGTTAGAAAGAGCTTTTCGTGCTTTTCTTCAAATAAGACAACCTCAATGTAATAAGAGAAAGAGAGATGGAAAGAGAAATATGATATAGAAAGTAACACGTGAGAGAGAGAGAGAGAGAGAGAGAGAGAGAAAAAGAGAGAGAGGGGAAAACACGTAGCACGTGTCTAGAAATTTAAGTAGAACTTTTCTTAACTTCGAGGTCATCCTTCGAAAGAAACATAGTTGCTTTTTTATCCATCTTATATTGCCAACAGATCTTTTCTAATTCTTTTCTAATGCCATTAGAACAAACTTTTATTTATTTATTTTCTTTTTTAGTAATGATATTAGATTTTTGTCTAAAGTATACTTTACAAAAGTTATTTTTTCAATATGATCTTTGTTTAATCGTTGTTATTATTGGTAATTTTTATTTTTATCATTATAGTATTATTTCGATAATGAAATTTCGAGTTTCTAATGTCAATTAATAATAATTATTGTTATATTATTTATTTGCTATTATAATATTATTTATTTATTTATTATATTATTGTATTATTTGTTAAAACAAAAAAGATTCACGTGGTGGTTGTGGTGGTTGCACGTATGACTGCATACGTTACATATTAAAATTCGTAAAATATAATACTTGCATACCTGTGGAACCATCACGACGACATACATCGAACGGAATATAAACGTCAATGTATATAACATATATACATATATAATATATATATAAAATACGAGTATATGCGTGTATATTGGAGTAAGTTGAATATTTCAACATTTGCAACGTACGTATAGTGAAATTTGACAAATATTTTATATATTTTTTTTTTTTAATATTTATTACCTATACACACACACAAACACACACACACATACAAACAGACACACACGTATATATATAAAAAGAAAACTGTACTATACCTGAGCTTGTAAAGCAGCAAGATCCAATTTGGCAACACCTAACTCAAAACGTTTCATGGAAATGTTTTCTTGCAGTTCAGCCACTTTTGTATAAAGATTACTCTCGGCACTTCTAACATAAACAAACAAACAGAAAAAAAATGCATTTGTTTGATAAATTATGAAAAAAAAAAAAAGGTTTTAAGACTCGAACGTTAAACCAAACTATTATTAAGTGAATTCATTTTGTCGTTGAAAATATGAGAAGATTGGAATAAAAGTTCAAGTAATTGTGAGAAATGAAGAAAAGTTTCTGTTGAAACTTGAAAAAAGCAAAGAGCGCAGGAAGTGAGCTTTGTTCTTAACTCGTAAAAATTAATTCTGACCAAAGAAGAAAAAGAAAAAGAAAAAGAAAAAGAAAAAGAAAAAGAAAAATGACGAACTTACTTTCGTTGCATTCGAATCAAAGCGTCTAAGGCTTCTTGAATTCTTCCTTTTTTTTGTGTCAAAGTTTCATGTTCCCTTTTGAGTTCTTCCATAAATGGCAAAGTACTGATACCAGTTGGTACCAATTCGTCTCTAAGCTGTGGTATTTGTGCAGCTTTTTCTATTGGTACTTGTTCCGGTCGTGAAAGTGCAACGAACAAACGTTTAACCGGTTTACGTGGTGTTGCATTAACCGACAAATTACGTGCAAGTATCTGAAACAAAAAATATCATTTTTTTTTTTTCTTTAAATTATTCAACTTACAATATTAATTTCATTTAATTAATAATACAAAATAATACTAACACATATATACGCTAAAAATTGTTATCGTGTGTATGTTCGTGATATATCAATTTTAAAGTTATTCAAATTATTTATTAAATAATAAATAATTAAATTATTTATAATATATTAAATAATAAATAATTTTATTTTATTTTATTATTTTGTGGAACCAAAAAAAAAAAAAGAAACGAAACAAAAACTATTATTAACAAAAATAGAATTAAATTTTAGGAATGTTACAATACAGTAACCACTTACATACTTCCCTCCCCCTTCCCCTCA